CTTATTGCAGGAAATCTTTAAAATCATAATCAATCGTATTTCTATCTATTAAGCGCGAGTGCATCTCTCAACAGCAAAGCAAAAATATTCCTGCATCATAGATAGAGTCGCCTCCCTCGTAGTTGATTCTATTCTGAAACTTATATGAAGTTTGTCAATGAGCGATCGTCAAAAGGATGTAGAAACCATCGCATACCATTTTTTAATACTGGAATTGTCCAGAATCTACCTTTGGATTGACTAGATTATATGGAATCCCCCTGGACAGTCATGAATCCCCCTCAATATTGAGTGAAATTCTTCCTGTGATTGTCCGGAATCCTCGCTGGGATAGTTCATATTCCTTCTTTGGATTTTCTGAAGTTACCTTTGATATTGTTGGAAAACCGAACTGGGATTGTCTGAAATTCCCCCTAGGCTTGCTCGGAATCTCTACTGAGACTGTCATAAATCCCCTTTGCGATTGACTGGAACCCTCCTAGAGATTGTACAAAATCCCCCTGTAATAGAACGTCATCGGCATGGCAGTAATGGCAAGACAGCTCTGACTGTTCCGTAAGGTCACCATAAAAATCTTCCATGGATTTTGAGGGGACAGCTTGTAGTTCCTTTCATACACGTGCAATTGCCCTTTCATTGCTGAAAGGTCTTCCCAGTAAAGCATTGCAAGCGCACCGTTTAAAATGTTGTTGCTTTGCTTGACAGTATCGGTTGCTATGTGTATTTTATGTTGAGCAAGGCGAGTTACTCAGAGTTACTCAAAATTAACTCCGATTTTACTCATGATCAAAAGCTGTCTTGCCCCAAGGTTTCAACAGCAAAAATATTCAAAATAAAAGTTGGATTTTTTAATTGAAAGTTTTTCTTTTACTTTTGACTCGTGATTTTAAAAGTACATATTTTTAAAACTGTTGTAAGTTGTTCAACTGTAAAAAATACCCCTCAGCGATGTTTTTACTGGCTGCACTGGAATCTTATATGCCGCCCTTTTCACTAGTCTGGCCGCTGTAAACATGAAATCCAGGTTAGAAGCTACAACAAGAGTCATGTTCTTTTGTGGGATACCAGAAACTGAACTGTTATTAGTTAGATATTCCGATATTATTCGCTGCTAGAGACCCTCGTGGAGACTCATGTGAAATTGACATTCCAAATGGTAAGTAAACTATTTTCATTGTTATTGTTATTGGATTTTAGATTCTTTTTTATATCAGATTATGAAATCTGCCAGGACGACATCACGCCAGTTTTCGGTATCGACCTTATAAAATTCCTGTCGGAGAAGGATCAAACCCTACTACAAGCCTCGGAAAAATGAAAATTCAGCTTTGATTGGGAGAAGGACAAAAACCAGCTGCTGTCACCAGTTGGTACTTTCTGCAAATGGAAAACAATACCAAGCTTGCCTTGTCAGTGGTCTGGATTCAGTGTTCCTCGTATCAACCCTCACTTACCGAGATGTCTATCTGTGTCTCTCTGTGAATTTCGTTACATTATTGTTAATTAGTTGAAAAGGAAATGAAAATAAATTAAATCCATTTTTGATCTGTTTTGCATAAATTAAATATTATTTAGAATTTAAAATGAAAAAAAGATGATATTACAATGAAAATGCATGTTTTTAATTTCAAAATTTTGTTTTTTCTATTTAAAATGTTATTTATTGTTTCAAATATATCACATTTTCAAACCGAAACTTTGTTTTGAATTGAAAAGATGACAATTTTAATTCCACCACTCCCGAGCTTTTAATTTGACAGAAGTACAATTTATTTTGAAAGTTTTAACTTTTGAAAGTAGTGAGCGGTCAACTTTTGCTTTAACAGTTGGCTGACTTTTGTTTTGAAAGCTAACCGCTTTCTACCAAAAAGAACCAATGCAAACTTTTAATTCTACCAATGGTTTTATTAATTTTAGCAACGACTTTTCTTTGTGTGTACCAAGTAAGCTATTAAAATGCGGTGGTGAAGCACTGGCTAGCGCGCTGCACTGGGTAATTGCCAAGATTTGGGAGGAGGAGATATAACCGGAGGAGTGGATGGAAGGTGTCGTATGCCTAATCTACAAAAGCACGACAAGTTGGATTGCTACAACTACCGCGCGATCACACTGCTGAGCGCCGCCTACAAGGTACTCTCCCAAATTCTATGCCACCGCCTATCACCATTTGCAAGAGAGTTCGTGGGGCAATACCAATTCATGGGTGCCCGCGCTACCACGGACCAAATGTTCGCGATTCGGCAGGTTCTGCAGAAATGCCGCGAATACAACGAATACAACCCTCATTTGTTATTCGATTTCCAATTCGCATACGACACAATCGATCGAGATCAGCTATGGCAGATTATGCACGAGTAAGGATTTTCGGATAAACTGACGCGATTGGTCAAGGCGACGATGGATCGAGTGATGTGCGTTGTTCGAGTATCGGAACACTCTCGAGTCCCTTTGAATCTTGAAGGGGGTTACGGCAAGGTGATGGACTTTCGTGTCTGCACAAGTGGCACGATCTTCAGAAAGTCCACCCAGCTTCTTGGCTTCGCCGATGACATCGACATCATGGCACGGAACTTTGAGACGATGGCGGAAACATACATCAGACTGAAGGCTGAACTGCTGACTTACCATCAACGCATCGAAGACAAAATACATGAAAGGAAGAGGTTCTAGGGAAGACAATGTTAGCCTCCCACTCCGAGTTCAGATTGACGGTGACGAAATCGAGGTGGTCGAAGAGTTCGTGTATTTGGGCTCACTGGTGACCGCCCAAAATGATACCAGCAGAGAAATTCAAAGACGCATTATGGCAGGGAATCGTGCCTACTTTGGACTCCGGAGGACGCTTCGGTCAAATAAAATTCACCGCCGCACGAAGTTGACTACCTACAAGACGCTGATTAGAACGGTGGACCTCTACGGCCACGAGACCTGGACTATGCTCGTGGAGGACCAACGCACCCTTGTTGTTTTCGAACGGAAGGTGTTGCGTACCATCTACGTTGGAGTGCAGATGGATGACGGAACGTGGAGAAGGCAAATGAACCACGAATTTCACCAGCTGCTGGGAGAACCATCCATCGTCCACATTGAAAGAATTAGTCGACTTAGGTGGGCTGGGTACGTCGTAAGAATGCCGCACAAAGACCCAGTGAAAATGGTTCTCGAAAGCGACTCAATAGGAACAAGAGAAGAGGCGCGCAGCGCATTTATTACCCTTTTCTGTGGCTTGTGGGTGTGGGTTTTCACAGATATGTGTGGCGTGTAAGCGAGATAATGAGAGAGTAGTCGAGTATTAGTACAAGACACTGAAGAAGTCTGCACATTGTAGACGAAATACGCGTATCTGTCAAGGATAAGCAAATAAGATAGTGGAATTAAATGGAAATTACTAATCCTTCTCTCTCTCATTATACAGGTATTCCACTAAGACGCCCACATTCATCAAGATGTAAACGAGAGTTTATGGAACTATTACGGTACTCACTGTTGCAGCAGAATCTTTTTTGGCGTCGCGACACTGGCGTTGGCCCACACGGCTGCTCCTGCCCTACCGTGTGGCCGGAAACTTGCGGCGGGAGCTACAAACAGCGTTTCGTTGCTGGATTGAAAGAATTGCGGATATCCTCACAGTAGGCAGATTTCACAGCACATCCCGCCTCAGCGAACACCCTATTGAAATGCTGACTGACAGAATATGATCCGACACGACGTGCGTTGTTTGTGCTTCGTCAATACACTTTGACAGACAAAGTAGTCCGGCAAATTGTTTGTTACAGGTTAAGATTGTCACGGACTGTTATTTTTCTTCATTGAGCAACATGTTTTTCCTCATCGTTTCGGTTGTTGTTTTTTTGAGCTTAGTGGAATAAAAACCATATCTAACGAAGAAAACAGTGGTTCCGAGTATCCTTCTTCGTCAAAGGAAGAGGCTGAAAAGTTTTGCGGACATAGCGCAGGATCACCGGCTATCAATATTATTGTGTCATGAAGATGAGATGAGGAAACTCGACAAACATCTTTGACAGTCTAATAGACAGTGAAATATCTCTCGAATTTCATCAAGGCGTTTTTCCTCGAAAATTTCCTGGAATACAAGGAAAATATTGCTGACATACCACTTTTTACAATTTTGAATCAAATTTGACATAATTTTGAATTACTTTCATGTAACGTAGCCATATGAGCAGAAGGGGGTGACTGCCCCCTTCACTCAACATCATTAAAACGTTCGGCCTATTGGCATTAGGCCAAATTCTCCATAGTAAACAAAAAATCACCCCCTAGTTTCAGGCTACACCCTTGAAATGAAGTGATGTAATGTTTATGAAAATTGATATAAATATGTTCAACAATTAATACAATACATACTTGCAGTTCATTGGCTCTGGGAACAATTATAAATATTCACATTTCTCGTTTGGGTTCCCGTTTTTCTGACAGTTCGACTGATTCTTCTAGCATGACTCTTATTTTAAACATCGACTTTGGACTAAAAGCATATCGAATGAAAAATAAAATGCTTTAATCGCTCCACATGCCTGCCCTGTCTACTTTCACTCCATCAAACCGATCAAAACGAACGAACACATTTTCGCCAATAAATCAAACCATATTAATCCATCTCAGCAAATATGCTTATTCAACTCGACGTTTCCAACAATAATATGTCCTTCAAGCTCCCGTTGGCAAACACTTTTATTCACGGTCGATAAAACTAACTCAGAGAGAATCTCACTTTTACTCAGTTGTATGATAACGCAGGTCACTCAACGCTGAGTAACCTGCGTTTTACGAAATTTCTCATGCAACTGAGTAAAAGTGTCTCTTTATATCTGAGATAGTCTCATCGGCCGTGTATAATCACATATTCATATCCCCATTGGTTTTTCCATTCCGACCGATTAGATCCATTGTCATATTGCTGGAAGCAGTAAATCCATCTCGCAGGTTTCGGGCTGAAAAAAAAAGTACCAAAGCAAACAAATCGGATGGGTACTCACCCAGCACAATCCACAGCACGATGCTGTTGCCGGTGATGGCGACCAGCAGCATGGCTCCGAACACGACGCCCCATGCCGTTTTGAGCTGCCACGGTAGCTCGTAGGGACTTTTCGTCGTCGGAAAGAGACACTCGGTGATGAATTCTCTGCAAATAAGAAGAAGAAAAGTATTATTCAAGAGGGAGAAAAAAGATAAACACCCCACCCACGAACGGTCGATGAGACCAATTCAGTGAGAGAGTCACTTTTACTCGGATGAAAGATAAATTTCTAGTTGATGAATTTACGTTACGGTCGACCAGCAGATGGAAATGATGTGAAAACGATAATGACGTTTTGCTACCTGTCAAATCGCATGGAATATTTTTTAGTACATCAGTTTTGTAATTGCAAATCTGAAAACTAGGTGTCGCAAGGCCAGTTTTACCTTTGCGTAAATTCATCAATAACGCAGGTCACTCAGCGCTGAATGATCTTCGTTAGAAAAAAATGTTTTGTCTGAGTAGAAGTGATTCTCTCTTTGAGTTATTCTCATCGGCCGTGTTCGCATTAAGATTAAATCAGTGTCAACATTTCATAAGGGTGAAACTGTGTTGTAAACAATGACTTCAATAGCCGATTTCTCACAAAGCTCACTCCTACAAATTCTTCGATGTCAGCGGTTAGAGGATAGGCTGCTCTTCCAGGTGGCGTTGATTTGCATGTGTGAGCGAGAAATCGCCGGCTACAGCCATTGTTTACATAAGCCCTTTTGAAATGTTGGCACTGAAATATTTATTAGGGGCTGTCGGGTTGAATCAGAATCATCTGAACCGCATGCGTCTAGGGGCGGCCTAGTTTTGATACAGCTGATCATCAGGTAGGACGCACCAATTGATTTATTCATTCGAACCACCCTAAATATCATGACAGAAATGTTGAAGTAGGGCGTGATAATCAAAAGGAGATTTCCAGCATCTTATGTGTTTAAGTCGGGGTACTGAATATTTTTGCAGATGTTGAGCATTTTTCGCTCCCACGTGGCGCCACACGCACACACCCGAAACACCGGCTTATGGCTTTGTTCTACAATGAACGGAACACCTCGTCTTTGGTGATTCAATCATGAAGAAGTATCCAATCCCCGTTTTGCTTAAGGAGTGATTTATCACTAGCATATTTCCGGAAAGTAAAGCGCCGAGAATATATTTCTATGATTAATGGATGTTATTGTGCCGAACGACAACAACCACCTTAAGCTTGTCAAACAATCAGAGTTATACGTTTATCAAATTAATCATTAGAGTTGAAGAGAAGATTCGGTGCGTTTCTTGTTTACATGACTCCCAGTCTAAGATCCAACAACTACCTCATCGGTCGTCCCGAATCGTTATAATCACAATTGGCAGGCGTCCCCCACCTTCGTACGCATTTTCTTTTTCGACACGCTTAGTGCCGTTCCCCATCACTGGATTTACAAATTCACTAGCTCAAAAATTGTCACGCTTCTCCTTAGTTGGATTGTTACGATAAGCCAACTTGACCTGTGAAAGTTTGTGAACCATCCCCTTGCGAGGCTATTGAGACAACAGTTATGGATGAATAATTTATCCCTTAATTGAATTCCCCGCTCCCTGGTCAATTCATACAGTTCTCACAAATTATAATTAAACTTCATGGGGTTTTACTCCGGAATCAATATGTTGCCATCACACCCCGCATGCATGCAGCTTGCTTTTTTATCGCATGGAACAGCAACAGATTCATGAATTCAATTAAGTACCCGTTCAAAATGGAAAATTTTCCTCAACCGCCAATAGCACAGCCCCAGCTGATACGTCGGCTCCAAGGTTGGCACAAACGCATAATTTTCACTCATTTTTCCTGACCTCTGGTATATCAGCAAAATTGATATAATAAATTGTTCCGCTTCATACACTCCACATGGAACCTGAACCCGAGGGCCAAAGTCCCTCCCGTGAAAAAAAAATAAAAAAAAAAAAGAAAACCATAATCCATTTTCCACGGCACAAATTTATCCGCATACATTTGCTTTTTCACGCGCCACATCTTCCAACACAACATTGGCATCCGGGAGCTTTCGGTGAAATTTATTTTTACAACAACAAAAACTACACGAGATCAAGGAGATCCGATTCAGTTTCAGTTTTTTCCATTAAATTCAATCAATTTGTGAGCCTTCAGTCGAAACCGATACCATCACTACTCGGGGGGACAGTGAAACTGGAGAAAGCTTTGGAGGAAAATTGACACAAATCAAGGGAGGCGAGAGGGGATCGACACTTTGGCTTAATTATTCTTCCGATGAAGTTCGGACGTGTTGCTTTTGATTGGAAGAAGATTAATGCTATAAGGTTATGGTTGTTTGATCCATGCGATGGTAATTTAAGAGAGATGGATATTTAGAGAATCCAAAACTAAAATAAAATCAACTGAATTTCTAGTTAGTCTTGATTGGATTTTGACTGAATTTTAATTGATTTGTCACTACATAAGCATTGAACTGTTATTGAATTTCGGTTCGATTTCGAATGACTTTCAGTTGAGTTTCATATAAATGTGATTTAGATTTGATTTCAATTTTATTTGAATTATATTTTTCAATGTCGATTGGAGTAGGCTCTGCCCACGAACGGCTGGTTCTCTTTTCGTTGTCGCTCCTTCGTGTGTTTTCCGCATATTTTTCATCTAAATCGTTTTCACGTGTGCATAATTAAAAACTCGAGTGAAAGTGAAATACCATTTAATTAATATTGAATTTATTTTGTAAATTGTTCGACAAGAATTTGGATCGAGTAGCTGTAGCGTCGCGTTAGTCGGTTTTTCTTATCATTTGTTTTGGTGCTCTACCTCCCCCGAAGAAGAGTTTTAACGAGTCTTTTTTTTTTCGTTTCGTAGTTCTACCTTACGGAAAATACACGCGAAAGACAGTTCTACTTTTCTTGCGAAAATATGTTCAGTGAAAAGCAAAAAATATGTGCAAATGAAAATCTACGCGTGTGATTAAAGATGCGGTGTACGGTTATAAAAAAAAGCGAAAATATTTTTTGGATTACCGCGAGTGAAAAAAGGAGAAGGGTATGTGCCTAGGGGCACGAACGGAAGCTTGACGTAGGACCGCTAGTGGACGGAACAAATGTGAGCATTTAGTTCTTTTAATTGATCAATTATCGTAACTCTTTCCGTTTTTTGTTAGTAAGCGTATCAAATTTGTAGTATTTATTTCAAAGAGAATCCAAGGGACTGTCAACTTGAGTATTTTCGATTCATCCAATCGACTTTAAAAGGTGTATTTTGAATTTTTTGTTATGTATGAATTTTTAAGTTTTGTGCATTTTGGTATTAAAGTGTATTAAATTCACCCCTCACAGGATTTCCTTCCAAATTATATGAATGTGGCGGGGCGAAAAGTATCGTTTGTGCAGAATATGTAAATAAGGAAGAGACTTCGAGAGATTGAACTCGTGAGAGCTAATTTTCTCACAAATTTGATTTGATTAGCTTTCTGGGGACCCAAAGCGAATTATTCCCACTTCTCTCAAATTCTATATGGATTTTTAACACTTCCTACCAGCGTGTTCTGGAAAATGGTCGGACGATGATTAATCTCACCAATACATTCGGGCTACAATTCCACACCTTCTATAGAGACCAGGTTGAGCCTTGATAGCTAGCTACTTGCGGGAACTGATGATCTTGAAAAATGTCCAAATAATACTCTTAACAAATGTATGGTGGTCCTGAAAAGGACCGATTTGTAGTGATGGTTGAGCAATGCTAAGCTGAGCACGACGAGCTACTGATTCCGATCCTAGCCTAGCCCTGGGACTTCTTCCTCCTTCTCTATGGTTGCTCATATGAGCTCTGCAGCTTGCTGCTTGCAGGCAGCCTTTCGTTGTTGTTGTTGAAAGCACTACTGCTGCTGCTGCTGAATTGGACACAACCACTTACGGTGATTGAAAGAGCACCATACAGTGGGACCGCATAGAATTCGATTTTTAAGTCTGTGTTAGGGAATGCGCTGTTTTCAGACATTCGGTGATAACTTTGATCACCATTGCAACAGTTGGACATTTGGTATTTTTCAATAGTGACCTATTGAAAATTAACTAAGTGTTCATTTTAGCAGATTGATAGATAAATTTACAATCGTTTGGCTTGTTTAGAATTAAAATCTATCTGCTATTGGTCGAAACCTGACCTCTTTTCGAAATGCTGTGCATTTTGGTTTTTTTGAAATTGCGTGGATTATATAGATCCTGTGGAGATCTATCTAGCCCTGATATATGTGTTGGTAGAGGGAAAAGTGTAAACTTTGTGGGAGACGATGTCTTAACACTCGAAAGCAATTTTGTGAAATATGAAGTAAAACAAATCCTAGCTAGTTCTGCATGATGATTTTGTTTGATTTTATTTATTTGTAAAGTCGCCGGGAAACACCAGCTGGCGATTTGTTTTTTATGATAGCTCCTTACTTGAAAACAGGCAAAAACTCACAAACAGGCTGCTTTTTCATGGTATACAGTGTGATAATTCAATAATCAATAAATTATCTCAGCATTTAGTGGTAAACCATTCATAAATTTTGGAAACATACAAAAAATTCTATAATCCACATTAAATTTCATATGTAAGCGCCGATTGAAACAATCTTTTCGACGTCACTACAAGGGTGATTGATTAAACGAAAGAAACGAATCGTGCGGAATGAAAACCGAGGAAAAACTAATTGCACCAATATATTCAGGCCTACAATTCCACACCTTCTACAGACAGGTTGAGCCTTGATAGCTAGCTACTTGCGGGAACTGATGACCTTGACCAATGTCCAAATAATACTCCTTCACAAATTTTTGGTGGCCCTGAAAAGGACCGTTTTGCAGTGATGGTTGAGTAATTCTAAGCTGGGTGTTCAACACGGATGAGGCTGTCGAGCTGTATGTCGTTTGGAGCGAGGGTGACACGCTTGGCATAGATGACCGACCCGCAGCGACTCACGAAGAGCTACTGATTCCGATCCATAGCATAGCGGTGCAGCTTCTTTCTCCTTTGATGGTTGCTTATGTGGGCTCTGCAGCTCGCTGCTTGCAGGCAGCCTTTCGTTGTTACTGGAGAACAATTTTCAACGACACACGCCGAAAGCACTGCTACTGCTGCTACTAATTTCGAAGACTGAATACAGTGGTGTGGTCGTTGACAGCGTGTGGCTCTGATTAAAGGGTGATGCGGTCAAAATTTTGTCAGGGGAAAACGCGTGTAAATCGGTGAAATCGTTTATTTAAAAAATCAAATTAAATTTCTTTTTCAAGTTCAATTAGTATAAAATTCAGGAAAAATATTCAGTTAGGCTTCCGCTTTTCCAAATCCGAATTGCCGGTCCTTACGCTTGACCCCTGCCATCAGATTTTGTACAGCCACCTTGTCCACCTTCTTCGCCGCAGAAAGCCAGTTTGCCTTGAACTGCTGCTCGCCCTTAGCAGTTTTTTTGGTCTTCTTTAGGTTCCACTTGACAATAGCCCAGTATTTCTCAATTGGGCGGAGCTCTGGCGTGTTGGGAGGGTTCTTGTCCTTGGGAACCACCTGCACGTTGTTGGCGGCGTACCACTCCATGGCCTTTTTACCGTAATGGCAAGATGCCAAATCCGACCAAAACAGTACGGAACAACCGTGTTTCTTCAGGAAAGGCAACAGACGTTTATTCAAACACTCTTTCACGTAAATTTCTTGGTTGACAGTCCCGGAAGCTATGAAAATGCTGCTTTTCAAGCCACAGGTACAGATGGCTTGCCAAACCAGATATTTCTTTGCGAACTTTGACAGTTTCATGTGCTTGAAAACATCTGCTACCTTTCCCCTTCCTTTTGCCGTATAAAACTCCTGTCCCGGAAGCTGCTTGTAGTCGGCTTTGACGTACACACTTAGTTTTTTTCGCCGGATCTCGGCAAAACAATTACCGAGATGGGCACCACTGAGTGCTCGGTAACCATCTCGGCAAACAGCAAAATTACCGAATATCTCGGTAATCATTAAATTCACGGTTGTCAATTTTTGCCGAAAATCTCAGTAAAAAAAACAACTGATTGCTCGGCAAAAGCATCCCTACGGTAAAAAAAATTACTGAATCTCGGCATTTTTTCCAATTTTGTTTACTTGCGTTAAAGAATAAGAAAAAAAATAAAAAGATTGTCATGAAGAAAATAGTTGCAAATAAGAAACACTGCAATGGGATTATCATTTTGTATATTTATCAATGTCGATAAAAATGCATCACAGGAAGTTGATGAAGTTGTTGCCGGTAGTGCTCATTTGATTGATTTTGAAGCAACATGCATAAAAAAAGTCAAAAAATAGCTTGTCAGATGGCGAACATGCTACTCTGTAAACCGTAAACGCTTTACAGAGCAGCACGAACGCGTGCAATACATCCGGTCCTGTTCCGACGACCACGTTATCCCAAATAACGTAGCACTCCCCTACCTCAAACTCCTCCCCAACAACTATTATTTGGGGAATTGCTGACGTCGGCATACTCTTGTCGGACTGAAAGTTTAAACCAAACAAGAATTATTTTCACTCAAACAAAACAGAACAATCTTGATCTTACATTAATCCATTGGATTATACCATGGAGTGGGTTGATCTTTCGCAGGTTCGGATCCTGCTCCCTTGAGCGTTTTAGTCCACGTGTTGGGTTTTTTTGCCGCACGACTGCCAGAGCCCTCAGAAAATCATTTTTGATGAAACGGAATGTATCACTATAACGAACCAATACTTTTGATTGGATGTCGTTCCATGATTCATTGAAGTCGGAAGCGTTTGGTCGAAGTGTTGTATAATCATAAGCAATCTAAAAAGGGGAAAATAGTTTAAAGTATCTACATATTAGATAGGTTTATTTTGCTTACCAGCACGCCACCAAATGCCGAGGCCACAGGAAAATCTTTTAAAAATGTCAACATGGTTCTTTCATTCCTATGTTCATTCCGGATCTTCAGAGTTTTCTTCCAAAGATTAAGGATATGGTTTTTAGTTTCATCCGACGGAACGATAAACTTCAACTCGATGATCTGAGATTATAACAAAGAAAATAAATAACGCTAATTTTATGCCAAATCGTTTTAAATTTTTACCAAGTTGTCCATGTCCTCTTCGATAACTTCTGTTACATCTGGTTGTTCTGATAATGCTTCTTGGTCTGTAGAATTTGGTTGGATTCGGCGACGGTGAAATATTCTTTTGTTGGACTTCTTAGCGTAATATTCCATCCGGTAATGGATTTTTCCAGCATGACGACCTACACCACGACCATTGAAATGAAACCACAAAGCCTAAAATAGAATTAAAAATGTTAAGTTAAATTAAGTTAAATCAATTGTATCCAAAAAATACTGCCGTTAAACGCCTAACTGTCCCTTGTTCTATACGAATTCCTTGGGTCACTTATGCGTACAACAGCGCAGTATACTATAGGTAATTATGATTTCTCGCGTCACTTTTCCACATTGATCAATTCTCTTCATCGACTCTCTCTGTTGTTAATAACTTGGCTCCAAAAACATGCTCATCTGTTCTTGTCGTTTAGTACGCTTAATAATACTTTCTTTTAACAGATGTTTTATGTTGGTTTTGCTTACCACTTTCACTACTCTACGTTGAAATAATTTTGGAAAATTGGATCACTGAACTATGTCAATGCAAAAAGAAAATCGATGGAGAGAATCGATCATCGCAGTTGGGCCTTAATGATTCTGAACGCTAGATTTACCATATTCATGGTAAGAAAAAAGACCCAACGGCCAGTTCACTTTTACCTACTTTTGACTAGTTTTTCTCCTTCTCTCCTTCTAATGTTGTCAAAAACGGAGTGTAGGAACCCACTTACTTACTTTTGGGTAGAAAGCAAGTGGAAAAATCAAGGGGGGGAGCTGGCTGTCAAATACGAACAATCGTCGCCTACCTCGCATGCCTCGCATAACTGGTTCCAAACGTAAACAAGCCATAAGAAACCTACAGCGATTGTTTACATTTGGAGCCAGTTTCATACAAGAATGATCAGTAGGCTGATTTGACAGCACGTCCCCCCCCAGGGAAAAATCCATACCAATTCAAGCTGAACTTTGCATTAGGTCTTAAGTAACATTGATCGATTCTCTTCGTCGACTTTCTCTTTCGCTAATAACTTATTCACAGATCCGTTTCTTGATGTGTTTGTCGTATTGTATGCTAGATAAAAGCTTCTTTTATCCATTTATGTGCTGAAAATACCTGGGAATGTCTTTACATGACCGTGGGATGCAAAGAGAAAGTCGACGAAGAGAATCTGTCAATGTTACTTAGGACCTAATGCAATGTTCAGCTTGAACTACACACAAGATTTTCTCTTTGCATTGCTACAGCTTAGCGAAACTATTTTCTAGAATTTGTTCAATGCAGAGTTGTAACAGGTTTTATTGGCTATCAAAAGCAACAGCAAACGCACCGAGAAACGTAATCTAGCGAGTTATTAACAAAAGAGAAAATCGACGAAGAGAATCGATCATAGCGTTTACGCCCTTATGCATGCTAACTGTCGAGTTATTAATAAAAGAGAAAATCGATTATGAGAATCGATCATCGCTGCTAGGTCCCTTCTAAACGCTAGATTGATTTTAGAATAGGTCCTATCTCCATTTTTCGATTGAAGAATCGATTAAATTTATTCGGTTTCTGCCGCAACACATCAACACATGCAATAAAAAGCTCAAACCTTGAACTGTTGGTTGCATGCATCGGTACTGCAAATCCATCGCTCAGATCGCTGTAGAATGTAAATAAAATTAATCGAAAAACGAAGACAGGACCTATCCTAAAATCAATTGAGAACGCTAGAATTAAATTTAAATTTACGTACGTGTGGAACATCGGAAGCTGCAGATGCCAGGATAGGATACATTTTCACAAGGGATCGAGCAATAATATCCTTATGGAACGTTGAAGGTCTCCTGAAAAACAACAAGTATTGTAAGTAGATATCAAAAAGAAATGCCTGTTGCTGTTTGTGATTGATTGTGCTGATTGTGAAATTGACTATTATTTCAGGAAACTTACTCTCCGTACACTGCTAATAAACAATCACACAAGATGTGGGTGATCTGTGAAATCATCTTGTCGTTCGGATTTTGGCCTTCCAGCAAACGTTCAATCAAACCCTTTCCAATCAAGGTTTTAGAGAGCACAGTGTTAATGTTGATTTCCTGTAATCATTGCGAAAATTAAGCATATGGGTTTACGGATTCATCTTGTGTCCCGGTAAGACATAATTCTAATTAGAAACGATTTGTTTTAATGCGCATCGTTTAAAATTCCATTGAAGATCAATCAACTATAATATATTCAAGTGAATAGGGCCAATGAGCCAAGATGAAACAATGACTAAAAAATTTCAATTTTTCATTAATCACGAAACACCCCCGCAAATCAATAGTAGCAGATAGAGGAAGTTTTCTATGTCATATTGTGTTGTTCAATTGCGTGGGTGTGGGTGATGATTTCGTGACAAATTATCATTTATATTTGTCTCATTCGCCCTTTTCATATATTCCGTCTAGTGTTGTAAATAATTGTATTAATAATCCTGTGTTTTACTGACACATCCATACATACCTGATCAAGATTGATTGTGTTGTAAATGTCATTCGGATTTGTACTGATATCATCCTCGGCCATCATAGTATAATCTTCAACAATCTCTGATTTATTGTTCTCCTCCAGCGTCTGTTCTTCAATAATTATGTCGTCTGCACATTTGCTTTGAATTCTTTGAATCGTCTTAATCATTTTCGTTGAAAGTTTCAGCCTGGAGAAGTCATTATTGTCCAACATCAAAAATGTTTCCAAATCCGTGATCTCTTCAACAACTGAAAGAAGAATGATGAACATGTTAATTAAAACATTAACTTTTTTACTAATCGGTGTATGTTACATTATTTTAATAGTCTCTATGGTAGTTTCTTCTTGAAATATATTTTTGACTGCTTTCATATGGACTCCAAATAGAAAATGTTGTGTGCAGATGAATATCTTCAGACTTGTACAACTGCTCTGTCGAACCAACTGTTACTTCGTATGCTTGCAAAAAATCATCGTACGATTGAGTGTTACATAGCCTCACAAGAAAGTGAATTCTGGTTTCGATGACAACAATTTTACTGATGATACCATATGATGGATAAAATTCATCATTTATGTTTCTGAGGCAAACAATCAGGTTTGAACGGAATTCTATTCCATTTATAGTGACTCTTTTTGTCATAAATACATTAGATGCAGTTTGCATTTCGACTTGGAAATCTTCGCGGGATACAATGCTTCCTGGGCCATAGATGATCTTATCGGTAAATGGGTTGTCCAGAATGTCCGTGACCATTTTGAAGGTCTGTCGTTTTGCTAAACTTACACAGATGTTTTTGAAATTTCTGCAAGTTGATGATTGGTTCTTCATAGGTTTGTTTTTCTGTTCAAACACGAGGCAATTGAATTGCTTCATGTTGCCACTTTGCTTTATGCAGTGAACATAGTGATCAAGGTGATGATTTTTATTAATTCGTCTCTTAAACGTTGTGTAGAATAAACCTTCGTACAATTTAATATGTTCTTCCAAGGATGCCAGCATATGATCCGAAATTATTGTGGACATCAATATTCGGGATATATTGATTAAATGTCCGATCATACACATGGACTCACAATCGACGGGTATCTTATGACCTGAGTGGTGCGAAGACGGACCTCAAAATCGAACCACTTTCGAGCTGTCAAATCGAACCACTTTTTTATCATTGTGGTTCGTTGAAATAGATAGAAGTATTGTTATCGTCCAAAATAAAAAATTAATATTTTTCAGTAATGTTTTAGATCTTTTTAAAAACGTGATTCGAAACGACTCAAACAATTAAAAATAACAGTATTATTGCGTATTTTGGACCAAAGTAGACTCCTGCGCTGAAAAAAACCCCTCCGATTTTTTTTCCCTCAGGAACGACTGTGACTTCGGAGAACGTTCTAAGAAGATTTGTGATGATAGTACAAAAGTTCCAGGAAATTTCAACAGATTTTTCCCGCGACAGAAGAGGTTTCAGTGGATATTTTAGTTGCTGCCAGCGAGGTTCTACGGGGGTTCTATAGAGTTTTCATGTTCGAGTTTCACACGATTTGGAGGGAAGTCAAATCGTTGCCATTGGAGGTCCCAGGGAATTTCGACAGCACTTCCATTGATATCGTCGGCCACATTAAATTTGCATCTGATTTGCAACAATTTATACAAATAAAAATTACTATGTTTGATTGCAAGCCAGGTAGAGGATGTGTCAGGGTTTTATTCTTTCTTGACTTCCCTGAAATGAAAAATATATTTTGCAGACAGAAGCAAAACAGGGATGAGATTAAATGAGGATGCATTATACAGACTTTTCTGTGGATATTTATTTAAACATCTTAAAAATCAAACATTATACATTGTTCCACTATTGAATCTTTGTTTTTTTGTTCTTTTTACGTGAGCACACTTGATTCTATACATCACAAATCGTTTCAAAATTTTTCCTTGTAAATTATGACAATTTTCTCCTGTGTATGGGATATTCACTAGGAGGCTGAGCAAGTGCTTATTTAAACTGATGTTTTGATTTTCGTCGTGTCCATCTTTATAATTGCAAAAGTGAGCAAAACACTTCATTCTGAATTTTATTCCACTCCGTAAAAACTACAGCTATGAACAATGTCAACAAACAATCACAAAGTCACGAATCGGCTCTGCACAAAAAGCCGTTTGACACTTCTCTCTACCAACCGACGGTGATGAAACGTTTATTTCAACACTACCAACATGAAGAAAATTTCACTTCGCACCACTCAGCTTATGACCAAACAAGAAAGGAAAAGCTCTTAACAGTAGGAGGTTTTGAGATGCCGTTTGTTTTAAACGGTATGTTGCTGGTTTTGAAAGCATTTGATGAGTAAAATTGCCACAGGGTCGATTCTTTTTGTCGATATATCCATATGAAAACAAGTGAATCCGCTGATTTATGTATTCTGTTGTCATTCCTAGTTCCTTCTTTTTGTAGTAGTGACTTAGCACCAGTTGAACAGTTAAAGGTACGACTCCTTCAGCAATATCATGCATCGTATCAAGTGCAAAATTTTCGGTTATATGAAAGTTCTCAAGTTCATTCAGAATACATCCTCCTTGTTTCAAGCCGCATTCCGAAGAAGTAATTTCCCCAGCTTCAAGCTTACTCAAGTTTATTTGATACCACTCCTTGGTGCGTATTGGAAATGTTTGAAATGGATTTTCGTGGAAAGCTGGTCTCGGAATAGTACAAATCCTACAAAAATATTTCGCACTGGGACTAAGGAGACCAAAAACGTCATGAAGAGCTAAAGTATCTCCACAAACAGTCGTAACAACCGCTCGTAATTCAAACTTTCCTGTGCCGTAATATACCGTGACACCTTTTTCAAGTTTCTTTAGGTCATGCATCAAAGGCTGAAGAATTTTATTATATCCATGTTTTTTTGCGTCTACTGATGTGACATATAAAACAGGAAAAATTGATCGCGGAGAACTATTCCACTTCTCTGGAAAGTTTTGAATCTTAAAATCAAATACCGATACCTTATTGATTCCGGCTCTGGAACTTAAGGCGTTTCCTAATTCGACATCATCCTGATACAAATCCAGCCTGATAGCATTTGGAAACTCTTTGAAAAAATTGCTGTTCTTGTATGATTCACCTGATCGGTATGAATCATATTCTTTAATGTATTGGTTTTCCGATCCACTGTCATTTAAGAGTTTTCTTGTTTCTGGATTCCTGAATATTAATTTAAGGGTTTCAATGATAGGGATGTACATGAAGGTTTCGTTAACTATAACCTTTTTCGATAATCCGTCAACGTGTCGAACGTCCTCGCGTGTCTGAAGCATTTTCTCCACAGGGGTTGGAATGGTCACAGCAAGTTTTTTTAGGAATTGTGTTTGCTTTGCGATGGTGGATACTTGCGAAAATAAATCTGGTAAATGAAAACAGTTTAAGAAAGATACAGTTTCCTTAGATGCCTGATCGATACCATTTTGTGCCAGAAATGTATTGGTATTGCCCTGGAAATATTCACCCAACATCTGAACCAATGTTTCGCAAAATTTAATCATTTCATTTATTTTTGATTGAGGAAGGGAAACGTCCTTTGAAAGACGACAAATACCAAGCGATACACATTCCTTGATCCGGTTTAACGAACAACCGTCGGCATCTGGAATCATTGGGATGCGTTGGGAAGTACTCGGGGAATTATTCATATTTTCGACCCTTGATTTTTTGACACAAAGTTCCTCTAAAAGTTCATCTTCTGAATCAAGCAATGGAACATTTTCAAAATCGTGATCTGAAGTTTCCGTGGAAACAAAACAGTGAACAGGATGTTGTTGTACTATATGACGCTTCAAAGACTTGAAATGATTATATCGGGATTTGCATTTGGGAAACAAGCAGTCGTAAAATACGGCGTTTGGATTAAAATGGGTATTCCGGATATGCATGTGTATATGCCGCTGAAATTCTTCAACATAACCAAAAATTGGTTGCCGGCAAAAAAAACAGGTGATAGAAGACGAGTTATCCTAAAAAAAATATTGGTGATATTAATAACAATTGCGTACTTACGAAAAAGATCGTAGATCCTTACGTCCTCCTTTTGCACTTGAACCAGAAATTCGTTCATTGTTCCGCGATTTAAAGTTGTTTTCGATGCAAAAGATATGCAACAATTAACTTCTGATCTTCTGAAAAATGGCGGGTGGAAAAAAAGTGACAGCTGTATTACCGAAATTCGGCAATGGATGAGGCCAATACCGAAATCTCAGTAAACGCGATTGCTGATTTCGGTATTATTTATATTTACTGATGTGCTCAGCTAATTACTTTGCGAATTTCGGCAAATGTTTTTGGTCAATCTCGGAAGAAATAATTTTGTTGCCGAAATATCAGTAAAATTATGAATTGCCGTGTCAGCTCAGTATTTTTTTCTGCCGACCTCGGGAATCTGTTTTAAGTGTGTAGGTTTCGTCGTCCATTACCACGCAGTCAAACTTCGTCAGCATCGTCGTGTACAGCCTCCGGGATCGCGCTTTGGCCGTCGTATTTTGTTTATCATCGCGATTTGGAGTCACTACCTTCTTGTAAGTCGATAGTCCGGCTTGTTTTTTGGCTCGATGCACGGTTGTAGACGATACACCCAGCTTATTTGCGGCATCTCGGAGAGAGAGGTTAGGGTTTCGCTTGAAACTACCGGCAACTCTCTTTGTCGTCTCAGCGGCTTCCGGTTTTCGATTTCCCCCCGATCTAGATTTCCTGGCTGTCGACAAACGTTCCCCAAACACTTTAATTACATTTGTAACGGTTGAATTGGCAACTTTTAGCGATTTTGCCAACTTTGCGTGCGAGTAGCTCGGATTTTCGCGATGCGCGAGCAAAATTTTGATACGCTGCTCTTCTTGCTTGGACGGCATTTTGACAACTGAAGAGTGAATTCCAAAATCAAAATAGGAGCAACATTCTACACACACACACCTTCAAAATGAGGGGTGTTCAGGTTTTTTAAATGCAAAATTGAAAGAAATACGTCAAGTTGATATTGACCAAATTTTGACCGTATCACCCTTTATGACGATGAGTGTGCAAAATATTACACAATTCCATCCTCCCTATTCGCACGCACCCGAGGATCCGAGGCGAATGCCACTTCGACTTGTTTCGTCTACTTACTACTCTCTGACGACTGTGCTGGAGAAGCAGCATATGCATGTAGATAATTGGTGGATTTGTTAGTCAATTCGACGCTTTTGGACAATGCTGAACATTTACTAATTTTTCAATAATTTCTTGTTGAAAATCAACATTCGGAAGCACTGTTATCGATGCGTAGCCATATTTCTGATCGATTGGTGATAAAATTATTGAAATTGGACCAGGGGCAGCTGAGTTATTAACGTTCAAAATCTTTCTTAATTTGTTACATGTTCCATTTTCGGTTTTCACAAAGTGTACCCCCATATAGAAATCAAAGACGTAGTCCTACGTCAAAAATCGGTGCTATATCAGAGGCCGTTTTTTTTTTATTGGGTATCAAGCTGGAGCTGCGTGACAGCTTAGTTTTCAAGACTTGACCCATTTGAATAAATTTTGCTTCTATCTTTGACAATACAGCAGAAGGACTAGCCTATGTTGGCCGCTTGAACACTGGATTCCGTATGTATTGTTTCAAGATAGTTATAGAAAAAAATGCTGTGACGTGTGCGCGTAGATACATCCGCGTAGTAAACCGATTGAATAAGTAAATCCGTTCCGAACGAAATATCCAAATTATGTAAGTTACGAAAACCGCGCGAATTCCGAAAGCCGTGCGAGACAACCGAAGCGAGAAAAAAGGCTTATTATCATTTAAAGAGTGCTACCAAAATAGATGTGATAGCCTATGTTGCAAGTTGAATAATTTTGGTTTACTCCCTAAATATTCTACTTATTTTACTGTTGAGCTTTGTTTCAATTAAGTTATTTTAAGGCACGTATCAATCATTTCAAGATTTCCCGACCTTACCGAACTAATTCTATACTACAGAGGCTCAAAAAAAAACTTTTGGTGAGCTCTACCGCATTGCGAATCACTTCTGCGTAAGCTCCGTAGACGTAGGCGTGTTGATTCCGACAGCCGCGAAAAGTTAAACATGCATCAATACCACATAAGGAAAGATCGATTTTACGTATGGTTTAGTTCATAGATCAACATTGACTGCTGTTTAAAAATGTAAGTACTTGAACACTAAGAAATAAGTTAACTCAAATACTTTAACCGCATATATAAGAGATTTCGCGTATTGAGAGAATAATATAGTAATCGAGTACAACAAACTCAGGGGAATACAATACCTCCAAAAGCTTAAAAGCTATTAATTGTCACATGCCTCTACTTTTACTTATTTCCTAAACTATTCCTCTCCTTGTTAATCTGCTAAATAAGAAGATTTATTCTACAACTTTTAAGGTTAGTTGCCTCCCTAAGCGGACCCCCGCATCCTAATTCTTTTGTTAATCTACTTAATGTCATTAGACTTTCTGAAGTTTCTTATTTAAGTTCATTTGATGATTATGATATCTCATTAGTCTAATTTTATAAATTATTAAAAGCTCTAATTCACCCAATCAATCATAACCCATGCTTTGTTAAGTACCTGCACTTGTGCTTGTAATCTAAAATTAAACGTGTTTCAAGTACTTTTGATTTAAGCCTATACCTATTTATTATATCTTAGTTCGACCCAGGTAACACCTTCATGTGACTAAAATGCTTCATTTTGAAGTTAGTTTCCTAGCTGATTTTTAAATTATATAGGGTATATGCTCCAACTATGCTCACACGCTTCCACTATGTCGCACCACAAAAATACGTATGGGTATGTCACAATAGAAGCACGCCACAGTGGAAATCCCGAGCCATAGTTCAAACACTTATCCCAAATCAAAATGAAGCACATATAAGATTAGTTACAATACCATGTACAAAAATGATGTTTAACATTGTTTCCTGAATAATACTTCAATGAAAACAACAGTGAAAGCTTGTCACGCAAATAGAAGGAGCACCGTTGGGCACTTTCTGAAATATTTCAATAGTATAATTCCCTTGCCCAAATAAATCTATCTGCGTAAAATTATAATGAGAGAGAGAAGGATTCTCCACTCAATTCCACCACTCTACCCGCCTATCCCTGACAGACACGCGTACCCCGCCTACAACATGCAGACCTCTTCAGTGTCTTGTACTAATACTCGAGTATTAGTACAAGACACCGAAGAAGTCCGCACACTGTAGACGAAACACGCGCATCCGTCAAGGACAAGCAAACAAAGCAGTGGAATTAAATGGAAAATACCAATCCTTCCCTCTCTCTCTCTCTCTCATTATACAGGTATTCCACTAAGACGTCCACATTCATCAGGATGCGTAAAAATAAATAAAAATAAGAGTGATTTGCGACAAAACCCGCCAGTATCACACCCAACGTCAGTGCCTATAGGTAAGCGTACTACGACGCGGCTCTCAATTAAAGGAGTAACAAGTGTGATACTATCACTGTTAGACTGGATCTTTGGTTCTCTCATGCAGTGGTTTATCAGAGAGGTGAAGCTTAGTAATCCCCATTGCCTGCCCATGACGCCATTCTATCGCGGCATGAGCCAGCAACGCCGACCATAAATCTACCGTCTCCAACACTCCACTATAAAGCATGAAATTAAGCCCGCCCACCAACAGCAAGGTGCAAAAACTAGTCAAGGGGAGGGGTGCTATATCAGAGGCAGAATTTGGTGAGATATATCTGATTTATTTTACGTTTCCAAATATGGAAGTGTGTTTGCAATACTATTATCCCGAGTATTATCCATATATGATAACGGTAGTGTGTGTGTGAATTACCAGGCATTCTGAAATGGGTTGCTGAATCTGCAGTAGAGCAATCACCTTCTTACTCTCGGACTAAAGTTGCTTCCAATTGTCACATCAAGGATTGTTGCTAGCGAATTTCTTCCATAATTCCACCGCTGGCCAGTGGGGGTTGGATTGACTTCACGCACTTCCATACACAATTATATTTTTCAATTGGGTTCTTTCATTTTGAAAAAAATATGCCGGTAACTAAACCACAGACAAACACATATAAAACTCGCAAGTTGTTCATCGAACAAGCATTTAACGGTCAATTTAAAAGTATCGTAGTTGGTAGTACCGCCACCTGTGGCGCGCATAGTCAATTCTCTTGCGTTTGACGTTTACACACTACCGCCATCTGTTCAGCGTACTATCCACCACAGTGTACTCAACAGATGGCGGTTATGTTTTAGCGACGATGTTTTACAATGAGAAATATTCAATGTGTTATGTCTGTTTGTCTGTGACTAAACCATGGCCAAGGGGTAAGTCAAACAGCACAATGTGCCGAAATTAAATTCTGTAAAGCTTGAGCACATCCATCGGCACACCTTCGGAACATCTTCGGCACGGCACAATCTCGTACGCATTGGATTGATGTAAATAAAATGGGAGCACTGCTGTGCAACTGTAATTGAAGTTGTTCAAAACATTAAATGCTGTTTGATTGTATATTCAGGAACATCCTCTAATCGAATATACCAGAGGACTCAGATCAGCACTTCACTTATAGATCTAAATCTGAAAAATAGGTTCTAGAGTGGGCTCAAGAGAAAGAGGCAGTTAATCAGACCACATTAGTACCTTTAATTCAAATAATTCTGTCACTCACACAAAACTAACTACAGAAGTCTATTCATCGTTCTCTATAGTCGGTCTCCAACAATGTTCCGCACCGGTTCCAACTCTTTCCGGCCACTGATGGACTGTTGCTTTCGTTGCTTACGAAAGGTTAGGTTTCTGGTCTGCCTTCGAGGGCATTATTAAATCCTAAAACATAGGACTTTTATTATTTTGAGAACACAAAACACCAAAATTTCGCACAACCCAATTGATGAATCTACGTTACGGTCGGCCAGCAGATGGAAATGATGTGAAAATGATAATGACGTTTTGCTAGCTGTCAAATCGTACGGAATATTTTGTAGTACATCATCACTTTTGTGGTGTTGGATTTCAAACCTAGGTGTCGCATGCACTGGTGCAGTTTTGCGTAGATTCATCAATCCGATTTATCA